GGTTAACCAGAAGTCCATAGCCTCACCTTCGAAATGGAATTGCGTGGGCACGAGAAAGATAGTAACCAGTGTAGTAACTGTCGGTGCATGTACATGAAATATTACATACATTACACTGATGCTTGTGTCTGCTTCCAAAATTGGATGGGCACATCTTCTGGAGCAATTTGTGACATTAAAGGCATCTCTCTTTACCATTATAGCAACTTAGATACTCCCTAGAATAAGTAGAATGTGTATTTTATATTTTGTCCATCAAATATAAGAAATTAAGCTCAAATATCTACACAATATAATTCCTTCAGAAAGTTTGCATTTTTTCAATTCATAACCACACATAATAAACAGTATAGTTTCATGACTAAAATACAAAATTCAGAGTGGAAACACACAAATTATTGTGATTTAGCACTATTTTGACAAAACCGATAATAAAAAGGTGATAAAGTAGATTTCTAAGAACAAATAATTTATTGTATAAAACTATAAGTTAAATATACATTGTCAAAATTAATACACATTAATTACATAAAATGCACAACTAGTTTGGCATACCTAATATGCAATTATCAAATACAACACTAACAAATCTTTTGATCTTACTACATGACAAGCTGATTTCATATTACCTTAGGAGCAGTTTGTTTCATTTATTAGTAATCTACTCACAGAGTTAAGTGTTACTTAAATGATAGCATTGTCTCAGTAACAGAATTTTTAATGCTCCAAAGTAAGTAGCTTTTGTTATTTTTATCTCAGTTTGTGACTGAGAAATTAGCAACAATCAAGACAGGAAACATAGTTGAGTTTTGTTACATTAGTGATAAGGGATTTAATATAAAAGAGTAATTTTTTACTTTGCAAAATAATTTTAAGAAAGTTTGGTTTTAAGGAATTTTATTAATGGTTTGAAAACATTCAGTATTTTGACTGATGACTTACTTCTTCACAATAAATGTCTTTCTGGTTTAAATAGTTAAATATTAAAACATCATTTTACACCATTATGATTCTGTACTTCAAAAACAATTTAAGTGTCATTATAAAACTCTTTTGGAAGATATGTAGTTTGTGAAGTTTTATTTATTTTTATCTTTTCATTGCTAGGAGTGGTGACCCATCTGAACAGGATATGGACATTGTTTTAATTCTTACGAAAGACTCATATTTTGTTGCTGAGTAAGTTTTAGATATTTATGATGTATTTGTTTCCACCAAAATATGTTTTAGTACTAAATTAAATTTCATATATCACATTTGGTAGATTTATTGATTTTTCTGAAACTTTAAAACAAATGTAAACTGCTTACTTTACAAACTATAAAACCGAATATTTTTTAAGTAATGGTTTATATTAGTTGCTCTACAAATTATCAAAATTTGTATTGCATTACTGGTTATCTTTGTTACTTCACAGTCTACGAAACTGAGTATTATCAGGGGCGTATCTACGGAAAATAGCACCTATGGCAAGCACTGAAATTGCACCCCTGTCCAAACATCTGACACTCATCTTTTAGATAACTTTACCATAATATCAGCTCAAAAATATAAGTCAAGCTCGTTAATCTTTTAATTAACAAATTATG